TCCCATCGTCTATTCATCTCCTCCATTTGCTTTTTCACTTCTTCTAATTTCTCATTTGCTTCCCTCTTTGCCTCCTCCACCCTTTCATTTGCTTCCTTCCTAGTTGTTTGTACTTGTTTCATAAGTTGTGCTTTAGTTGGTCTAATTCCAAAATATTTGGTAATACTTTTTTCTTGGACCATAAGCACGCAAATAGCCATTCTTCTCTGGACCAAGGACCTCTTCAAATATTTCATCATCATTTAATAAGATTTGTCCTTCTACTTGTTTTTTTAATCGATCAAACTGTGACTGCAAAACAAATTTATGGAATTAGCTTGGTTGTGTGTGCATAATAAAAAATCAAGAAGTAGTTAAAGAGAATACAAAGCTATTACAATAATGTCTTCTATACTGGATTCAACTTGCTTATCTTTCTTTCTTTTGCAATATTCTATCCAAACTTCAACACGAGAAGGAGTATATCCATTTTTCTTTTGCTGTCATAATAAAAGTTATGAACATATTGATTAAAAAATAATGAATGTGAATTATTAAACTTAATCTCATATTTGAAAGCAAATTCATACCATTTGATGTCTGAGTCGAGCATAACTTTTAGTTCCTGTGTATGAAGGCATAGACCGCTTTGATCTCTTGTCTTATTATTGTTACTCATTTCCTTTGTAATGATAAAATAAGCAATAATATTTATATCTTATAATTACATAGTAATTATGTTAAAATGTAACTTAAATAGTTATGCTTACTTGAAAGGTTGTCTCACTCCAATAATTAACCAAATACTTCCAATCGTCCATATGAACAAGTTTAGGCTTGTTTTTCGGACGACTTTGGTAAGTTTGTTTCCAATCAAAATATCTTTTTTTCATTTTGTATCTGTAATCCCTATATAAGGCATTCATGTGACCAAAAATGACTTCTTTCCTTCCTTCTACTTCTTCAAATACAAACTTCTCCTGAAGAGCATATAAGATAAATAAGTTTCAAATTCTACACTTTAATATATTAAACAACATACAAAATATTATAAATATTTATTTCATATCTGTCTTACCTTGATAATGGTCCACATATGGTCAATTTCATGTTCTTTAAGTTCTTTCCACTCCTTTATTTGTAAAGGACAACATGACTTATTCCGAATTGTTTGTCCTAAAAACCAAACAAAATTTGTTGAGTTTTCATCAATAGCTTGATGATCCTCATCAAATTATATAGGCAATTTTTCTCTTTTTTCTAATGTAATGATTTTTATGCAGCGCGTAAGACCTCTTGTTTTCCTTTTTTTGGTGTTTAAACCTAAAAATCACATGAATAATTATTAATTAGCAAATTAAGAACTGCATGACATTTGGAAAATGAAAATGCATGAAAGTAAAACGGAATAAATTAAAATTAAAACCTAATGTCCATGCCTTAATTCCAACATCTGATGCGTGTTCCTCTGAAAATGTCTAGTTGACTTCTCTCGAAACATTTCCAAGATTATGCTCTTCGAGATAGCAAGACACTATATCATTCTTTTCTGAGAGAGTAAACATGTTAACATGCATTCCCTTAGTATTTCTGTAACTTGTAAGCATGTTTCTCACGTCATCATCATCAACAATTTGGAGCAGCCCATCAAGATCACTGAGGATACTCTTGGCTTCAGGTGAAACAATTTGTCTCCACAGAGTATATCAAAGTCACAGTTCTTCTTTATGTAATCCAATAAATCAAAGTATATGAGAAACTCGAACTCCAAATCAAAATCACAGTACTTCTCACTCACTCTACCATTACTATACATTCGCGTAGGTGAAAAGACAAAATATCCTCCATAATGAAATCTTATTGTTCTCATATCCGGTATGCCCATTCTTCCTATTATAAAAAAAAAAAAAAAAAGTAAATTCAAGTTAGATGAATATTAAATAAACTAGCAAACAATATTGATAATGAGTGTACATGATAGACATAACAATGAATTGATTTAGTGATCAAGAAAATATTAAAAAAAAATTATTAAATGATATTTACCAATAGAATCAGTTGCTTTTTCTGGCTGTCTACGAGAATGGTGATTAAGACATGACTTCTCAATGCTATTTGTCGTGGATTGCACCTTATTGAATTGTGCTTCATGATGAATTTTTTGCATATCTTGAGAGATACTATCGGGAGGATCACTCTTTTTGTCAGTGAGCTTAGTTTTTCTTTTGTCTTTAACTAAACCTCCACACCTACTCGTGTTGTTGCTTTTCTAAAAGGTATTATTTACAATAAAATAAATCACTGAGTTATAAATAAATAAATAAATGAAAAAAAAAAGACATTATTGAGCTATGACCATAATATTTCAAACATGGGAATTTAGATATAGAAAAGTTTCTTATTTATATTGATCTTAAAGTTTGATGTTGATGAATTATTCCCATATTTCTATTACTTATAATTAAGACCAATTAATATTGTCTTAAAACAATATCTCTTAATTAATTTATTTTCAAGAACTTTCCATAAAACGGGAAATTTCGTTAAACCCCAATGTCAATTAATTATTCATCCATTTTCTAAAACTTTAAGTTATGAATGAAGACAGACTACGCATAAAAAAGTAGAGTAGGTCATGAAAATAATATGTTGTGAATGTATTTATATAATGATATTTTAAGCAGAATGGGTCATAAAAAGAATATATTGTGAATGTATTTATGCAATGGTTTGATGCTGCCTTAAGATAACTAGTTTTTTGGCTGTAAAATACTAATTAAATAATGTAAGATAGAAAATGTCCAAAAAAAAATATATAAAAACTAGTAAAATCTGATGATACTATTTATTGCAGCAGACATAGAAAGTCTCAAAAGCTAAAGTAGCAAGCTGAATCCGTCATCACGTTAATAAAAAGCAGAGGCATTGGGGAGGATATTAAATAGGTAATCAAAGGTAATTATTGTCATGAGTTTTTTATGAGTGTTTTTTAACATTCTTTTATATCCATCTATTGGTTTGGCGGCCAAGTTTAATATAATATTATAGTATAAATAAAATTCATCTCACAATTTGGCATTATGTGCTTGATGTATGTTTGATTATGTATTTTTATCGATGATTGTGTCATTAAACAAATATTTAATAAATATCAATTGAGTATATTTTTTAAAACCCCTAGGAAGTTGTAAGATTTCGTCCCCTATATAAACACATAATGCACATTGTAGAAGAAAACTTACCTTCTAAAAAAAACTGATTCTTGAAAGAAAACTGTAAGTAAAACAATTTGCAAAAGAAAAAAAATGCACGGAGTACTAAAAAATAAAAACCTCAATGATTTGTGTTTGATTTTGTGTTTTTATTTATTTTAATTATTTTATATAACTCTGTTTTTGAGTGTATAATTTGACAGCGTCCTCTGTCAAATAAAAATAATAAAAACTTTGTATTTATTTAATTAAATTCTTATACAGTTGTTTTTATACGGGTTATAATCTTGATTAAATCACTAAAGTTAAGCATTACACATGGGAGTCTGTGCCGGTTTTTGCTTTCAACTTACATATAATTTAATAAAAAAAGATAAATGATGATGAAGATTCATATGCTTGTCAAATATATAAAATATGGTTTGATTATTAGCATTAATTTGATAGTGCATGGCTGTTAATTAAAATACTAGTGATTTTTTAAATTGCATGATATTTTTGGGAAGAAGATCATTAATCTATGGTCTTAAATTTGTCCAAGTAGTTAGGCATTTTTCCATTAGTGATTAATATTTGTTGTAAAGTTTTGAGGAGTGGACTTTCTAAATGGGAATTTGTTCTTATTTCATTTTTATTATACTTATGGACATTTAACTTCCTTGGGAATACCCTTTCTTTTGTACTATTTATATTTATTACCTCAATTGTTTCACTGTATGTAAGGAAAACAAATTATTTTACTTGCGAATTGGAATTTGGTAGGGTTTTGTTTAAGTAAAATGTGCATCAAAATTAAATGTATATAATAAGTTGGGTTTACGAGGATTAGATGCTTGATTACTTACCCTAATATGATCATAACTAAAATTAAACAAATTATTTTATTAATTAATCTTATAATTATTAATATATATGAATAATTTATTTAATTTTTCACATTTAAAAGATAAATTACATAAATTATGATGAAGACAATTCAATTCTACATATTGAAGATAAATAATTTGAATTATAAATGATGAATAAGATAAATAATATTTACATAGTGGGATTGTCACACACGCTGACCATAGTCTCATGTGATTCACTAAATTCAATTTTTATAAGTAAACTTATATATTAATTATAAACAATACCAAAAGATTGTGAATTAAATCACAAATGGTTTGAATTAATTGCAATTGACACCTTGCGAATAATTTATTAAATCACAAGGAGATGAAACCAACTTAAATCCTACCATTGCTAAGCTCCGTAATAAATTCTTTATTTCTTATTCATAGAATGAACTTGCAAATTGATCTCCAACTTATTGATTAATGACGTATTTGAGGGTCCCGCTCCCTGGTCAGTGGACGACGATCCCGCTCGCTGGTGAGAGGGCGGGGATAAGGGGGCAGCGTGACCTTCACGGGATATATATATATATTTCATCCTAATTCTTAGATGTCTAGATCCAATAAAGTATTATTATTAAATAAGATATTCTATGAATACTTAAAAGCAATTATTATTAATTAAAATGGTCTAAATATTTGATTTAGTTATGCCCAAAGGTCAAAGTGGCAGTTACTATAGTTTATATATATGTATTTTATATATAAATATTTCATCCCAATTCTATTAGCCCTCTAGACCCAATAAAGTGTTATTATTAAATAAAATATTATTAATTTAATAGTTTAAAATAAAATATAGAGTAAACCACATATTCCCACCTAAGGTTTGACGAAATCCCAAGTTGGTACCTCAAGTTCCATTTATTCCAGATTCCCACCCTTAAAATAACACTGTTAACATTTTTCAGGATAGTAAGGGTACAATTACCATAATTAACCCTATATTAATAAATTATGTTTTAACCTCTAAATTACTAAAATTATAAAATTAACCATCTTATTTTCAAATCACTTCAATTACACCCTCAGTGACTTCGCACCGTCTTGATTTTCACTGGATCTGGGCCATTTTCGATGGCGGCAAAACCCCTGGTCACCTCCATCACCTTCCCCATCGTCCGTCATCCAATATCCCTCTGGTTCCTGACTCATTGGGCCCTCCAATCGCCGGTGTCGTCAGGCTTAAGTTTTCAACATTCTTCGCTGGATTCCGACCGATTCTTAGCTGGATTCCGACCGATTCTTAGCTATTCTCTTCGCCCATTTCTCTCGTATATGTGAGCCATTATGATCAATAAGTTCGCATCTGCTTTTTCACCAATTCGAGGCATCACATCAAGGAGCTGCTCCGCTTTTCTCGTGGTCTCAAACAAGACACCCAGCCAAAGCAACATTGAAAGCAGCAGTATTAGGCTTCATAGCGATCAAAGGTTCATTGCTCTTTTTACGAAGGTCTACCCTCCCATCTTGGAATAAATAACCTAACTAAAAAATCAACTCAGCCGCAAGGTAAGCTCCAGAAGCTGTAAGCGACATGTGGGCCAAGATTGCAGACCAGGCACTCACAGGAGGATATTGTTCTGTTGGTACCAGCTTCCTCAAAACAGCTGATGCAGGAACTGGTAAACCACATTTAGACAAACCGAGAGAGAGATTAATCAAAGGTTCCTTTTCAAACAAATTCTGTTTACTTTCCTCAAAAGCTTGTTCCACCACCCCATAAGCCTTCTCAAGCCATGTATTGTCAAGGCTTCCAGCAAAACTTGTTATAACCTTGTTCACAACAGTTTTTCGAGGAAACCCATCCATCTGTATGTGTTGTTCAAAGAACTTCCACACATCAGCATATCTACGCTCATCAACTGCATTTTCTATTTCCAGACTCAGTTTTGCAGGGTCTCGAGCCTGGACCAAGATCGTTCCAGTCATACTCGCAAAAAATCGAGTTGCATACGCGAATCTGTTCAGGTCTACCAAGACACCAGTTTTAAAACCTGAGTACCTCAAAGAGTAGCCAAGAGGCTCATAGATTCTTACGCGACTCCAACTCTCCGGAATTTGGAGGTGTGAAATCCGAACGGAGTTATAACCCCTATTAGTAAGTAAAGAAAACAGATGATGCCTCAATTTCCTCATGAAAAGCATTATTTTCGGTCCTGCACTGAAATTGATTCAAAAATCAAAAACTTTATGATTGAAATCCTAATATGAAAGAATAACAGAAGTTCATGTAAAGAATTACATTTATTTTTTCGTAAATTTAACCTTGATACTTTGATTGAATATACTCCATATATATGGCCTATATTATACTTCTTTTCTATCTTCATTTTCAGTTCATCTTTATAACCTAGATACACATTTCTCTTAGCAAAGCACTTTAATTTTCGATCTAATTGAAGAAAATTCTTATTCCTATAGTACTTTGATAGAGATAATTACGAAACAAACACATGAAACTTTGAACTTTACAAAAAAGAGTTCAAAATATTAGAGGAAGACGAACCAGATTGAAGAAGTAGTGGAGCAGCTGAGGCTGGCCTTATGTTCCGTCGGCGGCGGCGGCGGTAGCAGTGGAGGAAAGGAACTGGAGTTTAAATTGGGTACGTGTTTGTTTAAAAAAACTCTTAAAAGGCCACTTTTAATCTCCCCTGATATTTTCTAAAGTACCAAAATCCCCTGATATTTTCAAATATAACAGGAAGCTCCCCAGAGCAGCCCACCATGAATTCGATAATATTATGGGCTAATCTAGTAAGCCTCTTTTCCTTTTGGGCTGGCTCTTAGATGCATTTGGGCCAAGTTTGTGTAAGCTACATTATGTAAATTGGACCTAAGTTTATTAGGTGAGCCCAACACAAATCCAAGACCAGTCCAACCCAAATCACTAAAATTGTCAAAACGCAAAGCAAGAATCCCACTATACATTGTTTAGTGGAAAAGGGTCATCAAATTATAATAAGCAAAATCATTTCTCAATTAGTATCAAACCTTTTAGCTAATTAGTTTCAAAAAATAATTTATGAACCCTAATCCCAATAGAGGCATATTATATATAATACATTATATTATATAATATACTCTTGAATATGCCTTTAGTGATTGAATATATTCCTTAACAAAATCTTTAAAAGTTTATTCTTTTTTGTAAAATCAAGAAGATAATATGAGATTTGAAAAGTTGAGCTTGAAAAAGCAAACTTTTGAATAAAACTTGGGCTATAAAGTGCTTTAATTTAATTAGTCCTTTATTTAATTTCTCTAAAGAATGGAAACAAGGCAAGCTAGTGCTTTATTGGGTCAGGTAACATAGATAGATATATATAATTTTTGGGTATAATCCAATTAGATTTTGCACTAAATAATTTGATTATCCTTTAATGTACTTCAAAAATTATAATTAATATTATTAATAATAAATCATTACCATACCAATTAAGGGACTCTTAATTAATTTATTTAATTTCCCACTCATAAAAATAATTAACTTTGAGCAATTATATGCTTGGATTATGTACATTATGAGTCCCATTTATATATATATATTTTTTTAATGTATGCATGAATTTGTTGAGTTCTCCTAGATATAATATTAATCTAGTGGTCTTATAATGTTTGAAGGCATTATTGAAAATGAAAGTTTTCATCTTAAGTCTTGTCAACTTAAGATTGTGCTCTATATCCAATTTGCATCCAATAATTTTCTCCATCTTCATGATGGCTTAATGGCTTATAGTTATTTTATTCTCTTTTATTATGCATCCTAATTTGAATTTTAGTTCCATTTGGGTGGAATGTTAAGACATTCTTTTAAGGCAGACAATCTTTTTTTTGCTCATGTCATATCTAGATATCACAGAAGAAAAAACGGCAAAATCCGATCCAATTTTGTCATTGATAAATGGGTATCATAATGATTCTGATACCATGATAAATTGACTTAAGATAAAACTTAATTTCAAAAGCTAGCTCGAGGGAATCTAATCACATATATATACACCGTGACATTTCACGAACTTGGCAACGTAAGACCAATTCAACATCTAATAGTCATGATTTGAATTCTCTTAAAAAAATTTAAAAATCAAATAATATGGATATATTAATCAAAATATGAGAGTCTTAATCTTTGAGTTAATGGAATGGATGCATGGATATGGTTCATGGCTATATAGGGAAGTGAGAGAGGGTGGTCAAAATTTTGAGATGTAATTTAGTTTTTAACTACAACTTTTTCATTGGAAAATAAACAAAAGATTTGATGCTTCAAGGCCAAGGGAGAGAATCCAAGGCAGCCTTAAAACCAAAGAAATTTAAGTAATAAATATTATAATTAATTTGATTTCATATAATTAAAACTCAATTGAATTCACTTTTCACGTGCAATTGACACTTTTTACAATTTAAATATAAAGAGTCTAGAGATGGAGTGATAAGATAGATGGGTCAAGGTTGGTGAAAGAGATGGTGAAACAAAACTACAAAGAAAGATTGAATAATTCATGCAAACTCTATCTCCTTCTCCATTGTCTTATAGTCGCCATGAGAATCCACCTACCTAGGAATAAAACAACCCACACGCCCACATTATTAATTCACTCTTTATATGCACAAAATTCTATATAAATATATAACTTCTGGAATGTAGATATATATTCTTGTATTTTTTACAGTGCAAACTAATGCAAATAAATGGTAAAAGATACAATTTTATAACTATTTATACCATAAAGGTTTTTTTTTTTTTTTTTTTTAAACAAAATGTGTAGGCCAATTTGTGCACTTTGATTAATCCCTGTAGGTGACTCCACCGTCATGATTACCTGTTTAAATTTTGGGAGTCATGAGAATACGAATCTAGAATTGTGCGTCTTAACCATACATTCCAACGATCGTCTTACCACTTGAGCTATCCAAAGATGAGTAATAGTAGTAAGACGTTAACTGCAGTTTGATAAACAAGTTTCGAAGGTGAAGATGTTTGTATATTTCTAAGTTGTGCATAAAATGAGAAACATTTAGGGCAAGGCGAGGTAAATAGAGATCGAAAAATTAGGATCATAAACATGATCGAAACATCCATATTAAGTAGGATATGATTGTATATACACAAAGGTTATTGTTGTGTATATGATAACGAATATTAAAATTTAAGGGGCAAGGCAAGATAAATACATATACCATGAAAAAACCCATAAAGGTTAGTATTTCCTGAAGGTAGAAAACCAATTAACCATTGGTTGATAAACAAGGTCGAAACGTCCACATTAGATAACATATAGTTGTGTACAAAATAACAAAGAACACGAGGCAAAGGAAAGGCAAGGCAAATACAGACGTGAGAAAGCCACAAAGGTTTGTCTAGAAAATGGCCGACCCAACACCAGTTAGTGGGAGACATGAAAATGCATGTAAGCTAGCTAGCCTTCAGGCCCTTCACCTTCACCTTCACCTTCACCCACAGACGATGGAGAGTCCCCATCTTTCTTTCTTCTCAAAGGTGCTAAAGACAACACTGACGTTTTGGGTGGCCACTGCCCACTGCGCCCCTTCTCTTTTACGAAACTTTTTAGTGCTTTGTTTTGGTGACTATGTTCATCTATACGTACTACTTTCACATTCCCCACTATAAATTTAGTTTAAAAGTATTGCCCTTCTTTGATCTCTGCCATACAAGTGCGTGCATTATTATTGTTTATAATCTTTTTACTTCATCCTCTCTAAAACAAAATGAAGTTTATTCATATTTTTCTTCTTTCTGGGTTGCTCAAAGTTCACCCACATTTTGATTCATATAATAATATTATAGGATTTTCAGATTGGCGTCCTCTTGCCAATTTTATCTAGGGTTTTGAAAATAATTTTCTGGTATTTTCGGAATTAACTAGAGTTTTTAATTGCTTCATGGCCTGTGATGTATATGTCATTTCAAAGTGATCTATTAACCTGGTAATAAGTTGTTTAATGGAAAGGATCAAACTTATCCGTTCTGCCATAAGTACTTCCATGTTCTGCCATAAGTACTTCCATATTCCACCGAGTGGGATTCGATAACAAGGTTGAGTCAATAATTGAAAAACTTCATTTTCTCGATCTTGATTCATGTAAAAATGTCAAGAACTACAGTTCCAGTTAAACTATCAGGAAATACCTAAATTAGAGTCAGGGCCATAGAATTATATACTTATCTTAGACACCGTATGATTAAGTATTTTATCCATATTTTGCTTCCTACAATATGCATACAACATTTCACATTATTACAAACTTGATATGACACTTGGTGCTCCACATAGGATGATAAGATCTAATTTCATGAGATAGACGGGTTTTTAATTACTTATGGATTCAATGTTGAGTCAATAATTGAAAAACTTCATTTTCTCGTTCTTGATTCATGTAAAAACTTCAAGAACTACGGTTCCAGTTAAGCTATCAGGAAAGACCCAAATTAGAGTCAAGGCCATAGAATTATATACTTATCTTAGACACCGTATGATTAAGTATTTTATCCATATTTTGCTTCCTACAATATGCATACAGCATTTCACATTATTACAAACTTGATATAACACTTAGTGCTCCACATAGGATGATAAGATCTAATTTCATGAGATAGAAGGGTTTTTAATTACTTATGGATTCAACGCTGAGTCAATAATTGAACAACTTCCTTTTCTCGATCTTGATTATGTAAAAACGTCAAGAATTACAATTCTAGTTAAACTAGCCGAAAAGACCCAAATTTAAGCCAGGGCCATAGAAATATATACTTAACTTAGACACCATATGATTAAGTATTTTATCCCTATATTACAAGCTTGATATAACACTTGGTGCTACACATAGAATGATAAGATCTAATTTTATAAGATAGAAGGGTTTTTAATTACGCAACTATGCATTGCCCATTAATGGAATTTAATTTAATTTAATTTATGTTCTTCTTTGATTCATAAACTTTATGAAAAGTGATGATATCCTTTTACTTTTATAATATTCAATGAGAATCTTATCATCTCCGATTCATTTTATAATAATATTTTCAAACCATTTCATAATTAAAGATGTTATTGAGTCACTAATTAATTTATTTTATGAAAGTGAAACATGCCTAAATTAGGGCATATTTCACTATAATAAATTAATTACTAACTTAAATTAATGCAGCCTTTACTAAATGAGAATCCCTTTGTAAAATTAATAAATTAAGCAAGTTAATTTTCATAAATATGGGTTTATTTGTGAGTAATAAATTATTTAATTTAGAGAATTTCAAAGGATGAACATATGACCATATCTTTAATTTTCATTCTTATACAATTTTCAAACCATTGAGATAATAATCGAGGCATTTTGAACGTTTGTGATTATAATATTTAGCATATATTTCATTTCCGACATTTAACATTAATCGTAATCACTCAAAATGCTTCAATTTAATGACTGATAAAAATAATATCAAAAAATTATGTAAAAAAAAAAAAAAAATCCTAATACATATGTGTATATATATGTGTGTGTGTGTATTAATTAATTAATTGACTAAAATCATAATAAATATCAAATCAAATTAAAGAAAAAATCCCAAAAGTAGTTCACGCATGCAAATGCAATATATATATAGGAAGTCAATTTCTCAGCCCTACCCAAGAAATTGGAATTGTAAAATTTCAATATGTAGTAATATCAATGGAGGAGAATCTTGACCTCAACCACTGAAAATGCTAAATTATTTATTTATTTATTTTAATGTTTTATAACCCATTAAGGGCACAATAATTTACAGACAATTTTATAATTATAATGCATGGTGACATATTCTTCTTGTTTTTTAGTGCCCCGTGTCTTATATATTCTTGGTTGCTATAGACTCATCCATCAATAACAAATTAATCCATGCAACAAATCAAATAATAATTCACTTCCATCTTATTCAATCAATTAATAATTTATTTGTTATTTAAACATGTGCCCAAGCACCTACAATTTGATCAAATTTCTTCACATGCATGATGAACGTATTGACGTTTATTCAAATATTTTCAAGTGTTCAGATTTTAAAAACCATCACTGGGTAGTCCAGCGGTCAACTAAAACTCTTAAATATATTACTCAAGAGGCCCTGAGTTTGATCCACTTGGGTTGTTAATAGGGGTGGTCACTATCTGGATTTATCCAGCTATCAACCTCAAGGTCTCGAGGGATAGTTAATATGCGTGCAAACTAGCTTGGACACCCTTGGTAACCAAAAGGAAAAAAAAAAAGTCAGATTTTAGAAAAGTTTGAAATCTCGTATTTTATTGTTAATAAACGATAACGAAATAATAACTACCCTTGTTTTTATGTGCTCCATGTTTTACTCATGGTACCTAGAGTCATCCATCAATCCATAAATCAAATAATACTCTTCCATCTTATTCAATTAATTAATTGATAGAACTACTATTTAGTAGAAAAATTCAAGTATCACTTCCTATTTCAAAATATTTAAATAAAATTTCAATATTTGTCAATATGATTGTACAGCTTCATTTTTAATTAAATTTGATCGAGCAAAGGTTTTGTTTCCCCCATTTTTTCCATTCATTGGAGCTCTTTGTTCATTGAAATGATCATTTCGACATTCATACATATTTGATTAATTTGCAAGACCTCTATCTAAATCAATCGATTAATGAATCTAGTAAGATAACGTTACTTTATACCTAATTAGCAAATGGGTTGAAGTATATCTGAGTAAATTAATTAATTAATTATAGCAATAATCAAGAGATAATGTGTTTGATTAATTTGATGTGTCATAACATAAGCATATGTATGAAATAAATTAATTGTTAATTAAACAAAAAAGATATGTTACACAAAGCAACAAACATATACCAAAGAGTGAAAAAGAAAGGTGTGAAAGAAAAGGGCAAAATGTGTAACTAAAAAGAATAAGGAGGAGATGAAGAAAAAGAGTGAGAAAAGGAGAAGAAACTTTGGATGTGACTATTGTCTCCCAATATTCCAAAGTGGTCTAAATCAAATCAAACCCCATCTTGTATTGTGGGTCCCTTCTTGCACTATCTTTTCTTAATTAAATTTAACCATTCCTTTCATAAACTATTCTTATTCATCTTTAAGTATACTTAATTAATTAATGTCATCACACCAAAATCTACTCTTCCCCTTTTTTATCGTTTGTTAATCTACTAAATTTCAAGTATCGTTAGTCTAAATCAACTTAAACTTTTGCCTGAAATAGATGGGTCTCTTCCCTTTTAATAGTCTGCTAATCTATCTGGGATAGACTAGATTAACGATCATGTAATCTTCAATGGGTTTGTGAGAGAAAAGTTGAAGATAGTTATTTTTATGGTATATAATAGCAATATGCGGCAATCAAGTTGATTCTGCCTTTAGGGTTTTCGTGATCTATTATTCCACGGATGCAAAGTCAAATTATGTAGGAAAAAGAAGCTTGAAATTGGATCGAACTCAATTACCCACCATTGGATTCCAACTTTTTAGATTATCTATAAGACTAAACAAATAGGAAAAGAAAAAGAAAGAAAAGAAAAGCTTATAATCTTGGCAATGAAAATAGAACAATTTAGCGTCAAATGCAAGGGGATTGTGGAATCATCCCATTCTTGGATATTGATGATCACTTTTTCTTTTTCCTTTTTCTTTCTTTTCTTCATAGACTTTGTTGTGCATTGAGTGGCACAAATATAATTCTTGAAATTCAACCTAAGAGATAACTAATTAGAATTGAACTAGAGAAATACCTTTTATAAATCAACTACAAACATGATTTTACAATTTTACTAGCAAAAAGGGGGAAAAAGAAAAAGAAAATTAAAATTTAAAAAAAAAAAAAAGGCATTTGATGAGAAATATTCCAAATTGCTCCTCTTTGTCGTTTCAATTTCCACTTCCTTTGTGGGTGCCCTACTAACCCTATGGCCTTTCCAAAAGGATTCCAAAGATAAATTGATAACTTTAGCCACTTCATAGCCCCATGAAAATGTAGTAAACAAGTGTTATGGGCAATGCAATTAGCATCCCAAATATAACCCTACAACCAAAATTAAATTAAAGTTGGTGACAAAAAAATAATTATAATAGGAAAGATGATATATATCTACGATATCAGAAATAACGTTATTTCCCATCTAAGTACTTCTTATCTAGGCCGTTATTGAATTATCGTTACTCCACATCTAAGTCATTACTAGATTATGATCCAGTAGTTCAAACGAAATAGCGTTACCTCAATGACAAAGATAACGTTATTTTTCATCTGGGTCATTGTAATTATAATCGAATCGTTCAGATGGGATAACGTTGCTTGAATAAAATAACATAATCCGATGAAATGAATGGTGCATGTTGAGAAAGTATATATACTTACGCAGTGCTTAGAATATCAGGGTGTACATTGTATTCCTTAGCAAAGACAAAGGGGACAATTCCTTGTGGGAGAGCTGCCTGTTTTTGCAATCAAAATACATTAAACCAAAAGGAAATGTTAAAAATGGCAGAGATAGATGTTTTTTCAATCTTCTTCTTCATTAATGAAAACAAACAATAACCTTAATTAATTAATCAAATAAATCTTTATTAATTAAACTAATCTCTTCCATATTATAGTTGGATTAATTATAGTGGTCTCTGCTATGCATGTGCTTTGTTTTATCCTTTGTTATTTACTCTTTCCCCTTCTCCTGTTTTTTTCTCACTATTCCCATCAAAACTTTATTGCCCAAATTTAAAACTCTCCCCAAGAAGATTCAATGTTTCTGCTCTACCTCCCTGTAAGGGCATGGCCTCATTATATAACTATATTATATCCAATAAAATATGCAATGTTTTCAGTATTAAAAACCAGTTAAATCTGCAATATTTTTGTGAAAATCTTTGAGAATGTATATGATTAGGATCTCTTGTGTTATAAACAAGTTTGTAATACTTTTTGAAAACAGGAGAAGTGGAGAAATTAAGAGTGTTTTTGAGGGGAGGGGGGATGGATGATAATAACTGAAGTTATGGGGTAGGTATTATGAGTATCAATGTGACAGTCAGAGGTGCATGATCGTGATGATGATGATGATGATGATTCAAACATTCAAACAAAAAAAGCAATTAAAAAAGTTATCTGGGGGGAGGAAAATAGTTAAATAAAAAGTGAAGATTTTGGAGGTTATGTGAGTTAAGTAAGATTTTTGGTAGTGTCAGAAGGAAGCACAGAGACAAGAGATAAAAGAGAGAGAGAGAGAGGGAGAGACCTGAACAATGGCAACGTGTAACAGAACGCCCTTTAACCCAACAGCAATGGAAGCGGCTGCCATGACAGCTGGACCTGTAAGGAATCTCACGCCAGAGCAAAAGCTGCAATGGAATTTCCACTGCTATGATCCTTGGTTGCAAAGCCATGACAAACCTGTCATATTTACCATCAAAAGCATCCCCATTACTCTACAAATCTTTTACTTGTCAGAATCAAATTTTTTTCTTTATTTTGGTGGGTTTTTTCTTTTATTTTTGAATTCTTTTATCATATTCATCATCATCTCCACCACTACCCCATCACAAGCCATTATTATTATACATTTTAAAGATAAAAGAAAGAAAGAGAGAAAGAGAGAAACCCCAACACATTATCATGACCATTACTGTTACTCTCACTTTGCTTTCTAACTGTTTTAGCTTGCTTTGCTACAACACTTAATTATGAAAAAGTGTATGAGAGAGAGAGAATCAGGAAAAAGTAAAAGAATTTGCTCGATGGAATTTATCACTGACCAAGACTGAACATGGCCATGCCTAAGCCTGCATCTGACAGAATGGAAATAGACTTTGCTATAATGGCAGGCATTTCTACATGCCACCTACAGGAAACAAAAACAAAACCAAGAAACATGTTATCAAAAACCAGTGATTGAATTGAAAGCACAAACAAAAAAGATTTTAATTTGATGGATTTTTAATCTAGGCGGAAAGTGACAGATTTAATGTACCTGAAAGAAACCAGTGACCATGTAAGGCCTATCAAGCTTGAATAAGTGTTGGGATTTCTGATAAGTTTCCTCCAAACCATAATCAAAATCAGCCTTGTCATTACACTTGTTGGTGGCATAGTTTTTGGTTTTCCATCTCCCACTTTTTCTCCTTCATGGTTGTTCTCTATTCCTCTGTTCCCAAAACTGAAATCATCTCTCTCAATGTTGTACTCTCCTTCAGGATTCTCCCTGTGACCCTCCACTGAAAACACAATCAAATTGATTAGCAAAACAAAACGAAGTTTAATCAGAAATGAAGCTAAACTAAATGAATTAACTAGTACCTTTTCCTGGAGACATGGATAATCTAACATCTTTTTGCTCATTAGCTCCATAATCATGGCCACCAAACACATCAGAGACTGGAGAAGCACTTGAACTCCAAACAAACATATGAAGATCTCTTGAACCCTCCTCAGGTTTCTGCTGAGCTTGACCATTAGGCCTCTTGGCAGTAGTAACATTATTTGCAGCAGCCGCAGCAGCAGCGGCTTTGGACCCAGTTGGTGAAAACATTCCAGGGTTCGGAGCTGGATAATGGGCTGCACCACTACCGGGGGGGTGGTAATGGAACCTTGACTTGGCGGTGGCGGTGGCGGCTGCAGCACCATCTTCTTCATAATTGGAAGGCCTTGGAGTTGGGCCTCTTGAAGCTGACAAGCCATAAACATCACCAGCTCCAAAGTTTGAGCTGCGTCCACCAGCCATCATGGAGTAAAAATCAGTGTGGTTGAAGCTAGAGCCTCGAGGAGTTGGGTTTCTTGAAGATTGCAAGGAGTAAATCTCAGCATTGGTGAGGTTTGAAGGGCGAGGAGTTGTTGAAGAAAGGCCTTGAGACCTTCTAGAGAAAATATCGGACCTTGAGGCATTAGATTTTCTCACAGTAACATGGAGTTTCCCATCTTCTTTGATCTCAGCTTCCGTTTCAAGAGGCTGCCTCCCATCAAGTGACATGATATCAGAGTCAACATGAATGGAAACAATGGAGCCAGCAGTGTCTGGAAATTGCTCAGAAATGAGCATCCGGGCACCTCTATATTCAAACAAAAACAGCATCAAAGTGTACCAAATAATACATTGAAGCACAACAATTTGCACCATCAAACTCCCGGAGAACTCGCCATACATTCCTTTAAGCAAAGGAATCCCCATAACAAGAGTGTTGGGCAAAGTTGATAAAGAAAAGAGAGTAATTGTCCATTCCAAACAACCCCTTTTGCTCACCCTTGTCCAAATAGCCAAAACCACAAGAACGATGATTTTCTGGAGAGTATCAGCAGCAATGAACCGAAAGTTCATGGCGTAGGGATCATTGGTAGAGATGAAATGAAAAGAAAGAAGAGGAACGGCAAAGAGAGCAACAAAACGGTTGATGCCGGAGCACTGATCGGGAGTGAAAATCTTCCACCATTTCACAGAGCCATAAGCTAAGATCATGGCCACGTAAAGTGGAACCATTGCAGTCATGACATGGTAAAAATCTAAAGCAGTAATCATCTTTGGTGATGAAACTTGAACAACTCAAACTTGAATACCTCCAACAAAAAACTCAAAAGAGAATAAGAAGCAAAGAAAATGAAGGGGGTTTAGTTTTGGGTTCTGGAGATGGTGGAGGTGATGATGAAGAAGACAAATGAAACTGAAGAGCATGTGTTTATGGGGTTTTGGAGTGGTGGTGGGTAATAAGGCAGAAGGAAGAGGAATTTTTTTTCAGAATACAGCTTTGAGAGCTGTGAGCAAGCTTGCACTTGCAGTCCCCAAAGCAAGAGAATTTGCTTTTTAAATTTTTTTTCCTTTGTTTTTATCCTTTTTGTTTTAAGTATTGTTTGGATTTGAAGAGATAATTTGATAATAACTTGGGAGGGCTCTAGCTTCAATAGCCAAACAAAAGTATAATAAAGACTTGAAATTAAAGAAAAAGCATTTTGGTTTTTGATTTGGAGGAGGAGGAAGAGGAGGTGGGGTGTGTCTCCAAGTACTTGTTTTAACACACCTTTTCCCTCAAGGTGGCTTTTCCTTTTCCCCAATTCCATTAATTTTTTCATATTCTCTTTTATACAGATTCACTTACAATTGTTAATTTTGCTGTACAGAAAACATTAACCTTACGTGCATGTTTATTATTAGTCATGGTGAAAACTAATTATATTTATATATATATATCATTTTTGGGAGAAGTGAATGGCTCCACGCGCTTAAATATGGGGCGCTAAATTTGGGGAGGAAGAGGACAAGAAGAAGAATAGTTATAACTTATACCTTTCACATGGACACTCCCTCAATCATCCATTCTTAACCAAAAATCTTACATGGTTGGCACTTTGAAGATCTTCTTACTTCAAACCATTGAATGTGTTCGATTAATTGAGACTAAACCCACATTCAGGTTGTTCAACTTGAGGAGGGTTTCAAGTTTTAACAGAAAATTCGATGAAAATAACAACTTAAAACATTATGTATTATTGAACAAAAATCATCTTAATTTATAGGTTCAAGTTGTTTCTTGTTTGTGTTGAGAAATCAAAAAAATTAACTTAGATGTTAATTTAGATATGTTTAAGTTCAACTTTAAGAAGGTTTCAAACAGATTTGGTTCTAAAATAAGTAATCTTCAAAATAAAATATTGGTCGAGTGAAAGCCAATAAATCTGATTCTATTAACATTGATCCTCCAACGTTTAAGTTAGTATTCTAAACTTTGAGATTTAATTATTAAGGTTATAAGATTACAAGAAGTTTATTGTTATGACAAACATATTGAGACTATGCTCTATAAAGAAGCAATCGTGCTTAATTCTATATGCATAGGAATAAAGATGAAGTTCAAAATGTTATTTATAGGCTTATGATCAATTTAGGTTTATCGTGACTTTTCAAATACAAAAGAAAATCAAATAAGCAGTTCAAAAATTACTACCAACTTATTTATGAAAATCAATATAAATAAAAATAATGATTTTTTTAAAATTATTCACCAAACATTTTTTTAACATTAAATTATAAGAAAGTTATCTTCTTAAATTAAAAGTAATCCCAATAGGGTACTTAGAATTAGAAATGTCGGCCTTGTTAGGGACAATTGCATTCATAAACCCACTATCAAAAGGCAACTTAAAGCTTAAAGCTCTATATAGCCTTTTTGATGCCGTATTAAGCTCAATAACTAGCCATTAATATATTACTTCATTTTTCAAACTATCGAAGCTAGATTAAAATGCATATTTATCACAAAATCTTTTAAAGTTAGGATAAATTCATATCAAGAGAGGATCTAAATTCCATCTTTCTACACATTAGTCAAATTATTTTTGAGCANTTATTTATAGGCTTATGATCAATTTAGGTTTGTCGTGACTTTTAAAATACAAAAGAAAATCAAATAAGGAGTTCAAAAATTACTACCAACTTATTTATGAAAATCAATATAAATAAAAATAATAGTTTTTTAAAATTATTTACCAACTACTTTTTAAACATTAAATTATAAGAAAGTTATCTTCTTAAATTAAAAGTAATCCCAATAGGGAACTTAGAATTAGAAATGTCGGCCTTGTTAGGGACAATTGCATTCATAAACCCACTATCAAAAGGCAACTTAAAGCTTAAAGCTCTATATAGCCTTTTTGATGCCGTATTAAGCTCAATAACTAGCCATTAATATATTACTTCATTTTTCAAACTATCGAAGCTAGATTAAAATGCATATTTATCACAAAATCTTTTAAAGTTAGGATAAATTAATATCAAGAGAGGATCTAAATTCCATCTTTCTACACATTAGTCAAATTATTTTTGAGCAATAATCAATAACAACAGCCCAATTAGCCATTCTAAGCCCTAAACATCAACAATGAGCCCTAAACATCAACAATATATATATATATATATATAAAATTGTCAATCATATTAATTATCAGTAAAAAGATCAATTCCCCAATTGAGCATTCGCGATATAAGTGAGAGGCCTTGGCGGTGAGTTGTTACGCTAGTCTTCCTCAAGGATTAGGTGGGGCATTGTGGCGGTGGGGGTTATTGCGCTAGTCTCCCCCGAGGATTGGGTGGAAGACTGTGGCGATGGGGGTTATTGCGTTAGTCTCCCCCGAGGATTAGGTGGGGGACTATAGCGGTGTATTACTATACTAGTCTCTTTCGAGGATTAGTCGAGATGTGCATGAACAGACCCGTACACCTTTTTTAGGTGGGGGGTCGTGGCGGTGAGTTACTACACTAGTCTTCCCTAAGGATTAGGTCTGGGGCTATGGTGGTAGGTTGTTGCGGTAGTCTCCTCCGAAGATTAGTCGAAGTATACATAAACTGGTTTGGACACCTGTTTAAAAAATAAAAAATAGAAAAAAAGATAGAAGATATCAATCAACTGTCCATACATTTATGTTTGAAATTTTCTATAAGTTTTCATGTAGATGGCAGGATCCTATTAACATTTAGCAATCAATTAATTACTATATGCTTTACTCCATCAAAGCATGCATGCCTTTTTATTCACACTCTGTCTACTCAATTTGTGTCTAAATTAATTGATGACAATTAGACAAACAATAAAATTCCAAAAGCTTACTTGTCTTTTGAATTTTGTTTTTGACCTCATTATTATAGAGATAACTATGTATTTATTTATTTTACCTTTTTATCTATTGAATTATGAAAGTTATCATGCATCGTCCTTCATAAAATAAAAGAGAATGATTTAATGGGATATATCTAAGGATCGTGATCCTTTAAATGAATTAATATTCTTTCTTGATTTGAGCTCTTGAATTTTACGAATCTTCNTATATGCTTTACTCCATCAAAGCATGCATGCCTTTTTATTCACACTCTGTCTACTCAATTTGTGTCTAAATTAATTGATGACAATTAGACAAACAATAAAATTCCAAAAGCTTACTTGTCTTTTGAATTTTGTTTTTGACCTCATTATTATAGAGATAACTATGTATTTATTTATTTTACCTTTTTATCTACTGAATTATGAAAGTTATCATGCATCCTCCTTCATAAAATAAAAGAGAATGATTTAATGGGATATATCTAAGGATCATGATCCTTTAAATGAATTAATATTCTTTCTTGATTTGAGCTCTCTTGAATTTTACGAATCTTCCATCACATATTTAAGATATATATCGAATCTTCCATCACATATTTAAGTCTATATATCTTAAATATGTGATGGAAGATTCGTAAAATTCAAGAGCTCAAATCAAGAAAGAATATTAATTCATTTAAAGGATCACGATATATATATAATTTTCATATCACAAATCACCTATCAATTTTTTCATGTCTAGTAGTTTTCATGTTAGAATAAGTAGAATTAGTGCAACCCATATGACGTTTTGATCTTCTGTCAAAGAAAAAAAAATGGATCTCGTAGGATTCTCAAAAAATTCTCGGATTACCTTTGAAATCAAATGCTCATTCATCTGTCTTTCACATATCATGAATAGCCGAGACATCGAGAAATATCTATAAAAACATTTAGAGAATTGATATGATTTTATCTCTATTTATTCCATTTAAGAAAAAGGAAGAATTTCACAAGTGGTTTGAAGGAAGCTCTCTTAATTCATAACGAAATAAATTAAATTAAAAACAAAGAAAATAATTTTTAGAAATCTAAGTAGTTAGTGGGGCATGCAATAGTAGTCGAGAGAATAAATGAATAAAATAAAGAAGAATTTCAGGCTTAGAAAACAGAAACCCTATAGCCATGGCCATGCGTGCAATTAATTAAAATTAAGCATGGTGTTTTGTGTTAATTGATTTTTCAAAGATATTACTTGGGAGACTGACATGACATATTTTTGTTCCCCATTTCTTTGCTTTCATTCTCTTCCATATCATTATAAACTTCAACGCATGCTTAATTCTTTTCAATTTTTCATCAACGAGGAAGTATTTTTGTCACTACACAAACTATTAACTCTTCAAATTCCTATTTGATAAGATATGATCATCGAGTTACAATTTCCAACCTACCGCAAAAGTCTCAATTTATACGACAAAATTTATGTGAATCCATCGTACATACCCGTAATCAATTATAAAATAAGTGTATTCTACTCACATTGATGTGTCATACGCTCATTAACTGGTTGTATGTACAACAAATGTAAAGATGCACAATGACAAGGTTTTTTGTTAGTATTTCTTGCATTGAGCTAGTAATCATGTGTGATCGCTTTGAACTGATAATGCATTTTATTTCTATACTTAAGATTGATATACCCAAGATGACTATGCTTTGGCTCACATAAGTTTCTATAAAAGAGTAATATTATAACTATCGATCAAGATTTTTTCTTGATCTGGGTTTTCTTGTAAACCATTTTTTTCATTAACAATGAGTCGAGTTTTTATATATGAGATAACCTCGATCTCTATTTTATTTGATGACCCATTTGGATAACCAAATTGTATTTGTAGTGCATTAAGGAATAATCTTCATGCACATTAATAGTTTATAAAAACCATAGTATTAAGAATATCATATAAAAGATCTTTTTTTTTTTTTTTTTTATAACCACAGTGTTCGACCTAGTTTGTATGCATCTCAACTAATCTCCAGTCCAATAGACTAGATAAGTCACAAATATGATAAGTGATCACTTTGTGAGGTTCGAACATAAAATCTCTGGGTAATTCACCCAGATGACTAAAGCTTGCCATCTAGAATATCATACAAAAGATTTTATATATATATATATATATATATATAAAGATTAATAAAGTTGCTTTAATGTAATCAAAGGTAGGCTTTGCCTTTGTTGAGAATGGGATACTTTTGGCTTAGATTTTTACATTGAATTCCAAAACATTCAATACAAAATGTTGACTTTTGCTTAGGAATTAGGAAGAGAGACCATCGGAGATAATCTAAATTAATAGGTGAAAGTTTTTATCATATGGAAATTAGTATCAAAGCTTTCGCACGTGTTGTAAAGTGGTTTATCAAAATGTTATAATGGCCCTCAAATTGGGGAAAGTTATCCTTCAAACACTTTAGCAATTGGGATGCCACCAATTCAATTTCCAATGTGGTTTTGTATATCCACTAACCCAAGACGCGCATGGGATCATATTACTAAATTATAAACATTTCTTAATTATAAAAATAAATATTATTGTGTCCAGAGAGTTTCGAACGTCATAAAATATCGTTTCACGAACCAAAATCTAATACATATGTCACAAAAATATTTAACTTAAAAACCCATTAACCATATTACTTGTAAATACGTACCAAAAAATGAAACAAAATACATCTATAACATGATATTCTAAATCGTTTTTAGTTCGTAAAGAAAGGTGTCTAAATGAAGCTTTAAAATAATAAGAGGTTACAAAGCATTGTTATTAACCACATCAAAAAATTGTATTTTTTATAATATATGTATAATTTTATTTTATTTTAANTTATAAACATTTCTTAATTATAAAAATAAATATTATTGTGTCCAGAGAGTTTCGAACGTCATAAAATATCGTTTCACGAACCAAAATCTAATACATATGTCACAAAAATATTTAACTTAAAAACCCATTAACCATATTACTTGTAAATACGTACCAAAAAATGAAACAAAATACATCTATAACATGATATTCTAAATCGTTTTTAGTTCGTAAAGAAAGGTGTCTAAATGAAGCTTTAAAATAATAAGAGGTTACAAAGCATTGTTATTAACCACATCAAAAAATTGTATTTTTTATAATATATGTATAATTTTATTTTATTTTAATAGATATGAAATCCTTTCATCAAATACTCTATTTTAATAAGAAAAAGGTTTCTCACAATTATTTAGATGGACAGAATGGTTCAACATTTATTCTTTTAAAGTAACACATCTCATAAGAGAAACCAATATTCTTGGAGATTACTTATCTAGGCCCAAATCTGTATTGCTTTTTGGAAGACTCGGGTCTATGATTCTAAGCCCGGGATGGAACTGGGCTTTCAAATACGTGCCACTTTTTAAAGTACAAGCCCAAATAAATTTAAAAAAAAAAAAAAAAAAAAATGGGTGATAAGACTCCACAAGCAAATGGCACAAATCACTTAGACATTCATAAACCAAAGTCCAAAAATATTCAACCCTGTATGCCGAGTACAAACCTGATTAGAATAGGCAGAAATAAGTGTATTCAAGGTTAGATTGTAATACATAACAGTAACCAAACCAATAACCCTAACTCGAAAACTGTAAGACGCTGCCACGCCAGGCGACGGAAGTTCTGAAAAGCAGACCAGAGACATTAACTAAGCATATGAGATAGGGAGTATTTGTACACTTTACAAACCCTTGGAACCGGGAAGGTCAATCCATTGTAGTTGAATCTCCACTTCACCACATTCCACATTTCTCAATCTGAGACAGAGGTCTTGGACAACTTTGCCATCGTTCCAGAAAATGCAACTCTCCTCAGCGAGACAATTGTGTCTACTTGGTGTAATTCTTGAGATTATGGTGCCAGATGGGAGGCCGTTCAAATTCATCTTCAAGGCTTCAATATATGATTTAATGTCGAACTCTGCATCTCCCATTTTGTCATCTTTGCTAAACGTGTCATGGTCATACACAGTCTGCAATTGCGCAGAAACGATGATAATAATCAGTTTATACCAATACCAGAAAACTCAAAGAATGGACATAAATCATTGTCAAAAAGAAGACAAAAGAGCACAACATTCCGATTCATTTGAATTCCCATTTGAGCTTCAATTCGGTTCAAACGATTTTTATCTTGTCTTTTCATACATTCAACTCATTAAATTCACAAATACAAGTTTCTGAGCCATGTAAGAAAGAAAAATTCTTTCATTTGGTTTTTTTTCCCCATCAAATCTTCCATCCGGAAAGGGAGAAAGAAATAGTGAGAAGTCAACATTTTAAAAAAACCCACCATTCATAAAACATAATCCATGTCGATGGTGTCATTTCCCTTTCTGTTCTCGGATTCATACGTAATCAAAATGAATAGAAAAATTACCACAAATTTTCGTTAAAACAGTCTCAATAAACCAGCTGTTCCATACATGATGAGATTTTAGAAAACTGGCTACACCAATTTGGTAAACTAAAATTTAAATGGATTAATGCAAATACTATATACATCAAACTCTAGAAGCAAAACTTGAAATCAGAAAATCTTGAGACTTTCATTGAGGCTTAGCATTAGCGCCATGAATTGCAAGGTTATCCATATTAACTGTTTTAAGCTTAATCTATTAGGACAAAAACATCTCCTAAACAAAGCCTATATTTTTAACATAAGAAATTCAGCCATACAATTTTATAAACAGAAAAACAGAGAAAAGACTCACCAGCTTGATGGGAACATTAGGATCTGTAATGGATAGAGTTAAATCTTCATTCCATTCCGGATTTACATCCTTCTTTATTACACGAGTCTTCAGTTTCTGCACCAAATACATTCACAACATTTCTTATCTCAAAAATCCTCACAAGTCTCCAAAGACCACTTTTAACAGTAAAAATTTATTTTGAAACAGTATTAACATTGAAGCAGAAAAGGGATTTTTTTAGTCAAACAATCGTCGAGATCTTTAAAGATAACCATAGAAGAAGAAGAAGAAGAAGAAGAGAATTTTCAATTCAATCCTCCTCGAAATCTATAAAAAAACAATTCTTATATCAACATATCTGAAAATACTTAATCAAAATTCTCATATATATAGATATTAAATGGGTATCAGCATTGATTGAAGAAAGAAGAACAAAAGAAAAGAAAAAGAAAGGAACCTGTTTGCCCATCTTGACAACAACATATGGATCGCTACTACGAACATCACGAACACAAGATTGATGCCACGCTTGACGCGAATCCTAAAAGTCCCATAGACTATCCATCAGAGACGTGTTTCCTGTTTTTCCTTTCTGTGAATGCACCATCAAAGACTTCTGCTGCTGTTTCTGATTCGGAAACCAAAATAATTCAGCACGAAGGCCGTGATGTTTCTTCCGTATCTTCAATTTCGATAATTTTTTTACAATCAACCTCTCCTTCTTCCCTCCTTCCCTTCCTTACCACAGAAACACGCCTCCTCCTGTTTCCTCCTCTTTCTCTCCAATTCGTTTCCCTGCAATTCCACCGATTTAAACCAACTCCATTTTTCAAAAAACAAACTTACACCAACCAAACCGTTCTTTCAGGTTGCAGACAATTCCGGTATCCGTGACACGTGGGTCCCACACTGTATTTATTTTTTATTTTATATTTTTTGGACTCGGTTTTTTTCGAAAATTTGGTTTTGGATTAGTCAGAGGAGAACCGTGGACGGTTTGGTTTGTTAAAGGTTAGAGAGAAGAATACTAAAAATAAATAAATAAATGAAAATTGGGAGAGATATATAAATAATAATGACAAGCGGACCGGAAGAGCCGGTTAATAATGGAGGGGAATTGTTAAGGAAAATTTGTGGTGGTTGAGGTTGACTAAAGATTAAACGACAAAGTGTGGGGGGCAACGAATGTGACATTTTTTTTTTATTTTTTTATCTCTTATTTCTAGATCTTCTTCCTTTTTTTCTTTTTTTTTTCTCTTTTAAATCAAATTTTAATTTTTGGTTTAGGATGAAAATTTAATTAAACCCATTTTAATTTTCATCCAAACATTACAAACCTACACTAAAATTGACAATTTGCCAAAAAAACCAAGACTATCATCGCGGTAAAAAATTATATTATCGTTACATTATCATTTAGTAGAATGTTATGATATATATATAGATCTGTTATGAATGGAGATTCAATGTATTAATATTTATGATTTTTTATTTTGTTTTATAAATCGTTATCCAAATTATATTGATGAAAGAAGCTTTAAATTTAAATTATATTCAAAGATTGATTTCTCTCTAAGACTTTTTTTCAAAAACGATAAAGTTAGAATATTGGAAAGGTCCTTTTGAGCAAAATCAAATGGCATTTTCAAATATGTTCTTGACTTGTTAATCAACCAAAGGAAATAAATAAAATGGAATCATTCTATCTTTCGATTTGACAACAAATGACAACCAATGATTTATATAACTTTCGATTGTCAAATGTGTATTACAGCTCTTGATAAAATTTGTATCACGTTTTTTGTATTTTAAGTAAAATATATTTCATTGAAAATTTATTCTAAAAGACATCGTTATATCATGAGACATGTCATTTTTTTACTCATAGTTTAACCACTGTTTTAAAAAACCGGACCGACCGGTCGCCGTTGGACCGGGAACCGGGCTTCTCAGTCCGGTTTAGGTCTCAGGGGTTTTTGAAATATTTTAAATTATGAGGTTACTTGTAATTTTATAGGGGTTTTTGAAGATATACAGTTTAGGATTAATTGGTAATTTATTGGGTATTTTTGGAATAAATAAAAATTTTAGGGACCAATTTAACTTTTAGGAGAATTTTTGTAATATATTAAAATTTAAGGGGTTATATAATTTTTTAAAAATAAATATTGCTTACGTCATCGTCCACAGTTCGGTCCGGTTGACCCGTGACTGCTAGACTTAGCAAAACGGTTTGCCTTCCGGTCCGGGTTTTAAAACAATGAGTTTAACATGTCATTAGTGATGTCGTTTTTGTCCATTTTGATATTTAATTTTTAAAAAATCAATAAAATAAACCATTTTATTTCTTCAAAAGGTTTTTTTTAATAATTTTTTTAGAATTCTATATAAAAATTCATCGGTTATATTGATATAATTAAAAAAAAAAAAAGAATAGAATTGGTGTTACAATTATACTCCAGTTAATAGCATTATTCTATTCTCATGGGTGTTTCTGAAAAAATTGGGTGTAAAATGAAAAAACTAATCTCTCAAGGAGTCCGCATATGTTTCTTATTTCATAAATAGGAGTTCTTATTAACCCTTGATTTTTTATTTTACTTCACTTAACCCCCAAAAAAACCCCCAAGAAAGATTCGGAAATCTTCCCTCCCGAAAACAAACACGACCAACTCAAATGGAACCAGAACCCTGGGAAGCCCTCGACATTGATGAAGCTGAAGACTCTCTTCTCCTCCTTCCATGCAAACGTAAGAGCTCAATTTTAATCTCATCCACCAACTCCAACAAATTTGATCTTCGCCCCTGCTCTTTCAATCCTACTATTCCCGGCCCCGCTGGAGCCGTACAGTCGGCAATGCACCGTAAAAGCTCGATGAGTATCGGTGAGGAGCCAATCCCTACTCAGGAGTACATAAGAAGAGTTGTGGAGGACCCCTCTCTTCAAAACGACGACGATTTCGCTCGCGATCCTTGGCTTTTTGCTGTGGATTTTGTTCGCCGTCAAGGTATATGACTACAATTACAAACACTAGAGCTCATTGGATTTTTTTAAATACGATTTTACCCTCTGCCATTTCCCTTGAATGGTAGTGAAATTACAAGTTTATAAACTAAGGATTCTTGAAAATTATGATCTTTAAGCTGTTTGTGAATTGTTTTCTTTGTGTTATGGAAGGCTTGGTGGGTGAAGATGGCGTGGCGATCGGAACCCCGTTGAGTTGCATCAAGAATGGGATTAATATGGATAAGATTTCTCAGGTAAATTTATGCCAATTCTGTAGATTTATGTTGAAGCAAATAAAAAGCTCTTGAAGGGTGTTTTAGAGAAGCACTTGATAAAGGCTTTTCAAAAAAATGCTTTTATGTGCTTTCGGTTTCTGTTAAAGTAATAAATTTACTTAGTTATAGTGTATCGCATTAGTTTTTTCAAAGAATTTGTAATTTATGCGTTCTTTATGTGTTTACCTTTAATTAGATTGTCGCCATTGTAAAATCTAGCACCCCGAATGGCCTTGGCGGTATGATGGTGACTTTGAAGGTAAACTACTTAAAAATGAAGCTGTTTTTGCGGATATATTTCTTGTGTTTCGTTTGGTTTAGAGAAGATGCCAGATATAACTGATGGGGCTCAAATTTTGATTTCAGGATCCGACTGGTACAATTGATGCAAGCATTCATCATAGAGTCCTTACTGAGAGTGAATTTTCTAAAGACATATCGGTTGGAACAGTGTTAATACTCCAGAAAGTTAATATTGGTTTCCTTTATATATATATATATTGAGTTCTTCCAAACAGTCTCTAATGAAGGAAATATTTTTCTTAATAATTAATGTCTCAAATGGGAGTTAATGTTGTTGTTATCAGCATTGAAAGATTGACAGAAACATGATTTTTCAGGTTGCAGTTTTCTCCCCTTCTCATTCTACACATTATCTTAATATAACACTTGGCAACATAGTCAAGGTATGTATTATTTCTGTTTTCAGAATTTTCCATCATCAAGTGGTTAAAGACTTCTTTAAGTGCTTATAAATGAGCTCTATCGGCATCCAAGAATTAGTTCTCTTCTTCTTTTCCTTTGTCAGTCCATTTTGTATGGTACAGGGACAATATTGATACTTACCCTTTTTTCTGTAGCGATTAGTGAATGTAATATCTGTTTTTTGGTCTACATATATGTTTTTTTGGTGTACTTTTGGATCATAAAGAAAACATCCAATGGTTTTTCTGTCCTATGTTCTGCTATTTAATGATTGGCTTTATAGGTCATCTCTAAGGATTGTGAAATTCCGCTAGATCAAACTTATCCTTCATTAATGGTCAAACATGCTTCCACTACTGCTGGTAGGCGACAATTCTTCTTCAAATTTCTCAATTTGTTATTATACCAAATTTATTTTTATGTTATGAACTGTTTTGCTGGCAATGAGATTGATTATTAGTCTTGAATGTGACTGTCTTTGTATCAAATTGCTTAGCCGCTCTGTTACATAACTTCCTTGTGTTATAATAGAAATCAGAAATCTACAGCAAAATTTGATGTCACATCCTTCTCTTTTATTATAACAGAAAGCAGTGAGAAGTCCTGGGAGCCGCCTAAGACAGTCTGTGTGTCACAAGGAAGAACTGAAGGAATCTTGAATTGTCTCAGACAGAATACTAATATGAGAGGGGCTGAACACAATGACAAAGAATTGGAAAAAGGAAACGCATCAGTTTCAAGTAGCTTCTGTGATGCTGGAGACAGCAGAAACAATAATTCAGTTGAAGAGGAGGAAACGATTGTGGTGAGCGTAGATGTTGCTGATGGAAGGAAAGGAACTTCAGTTGACACAGGCACCGACGATCATGAGCAAGGGATTTTGTCAAGTAAGCAGCCTGGCCATTTAAATGAGGCAAGAAAAAACAACATTTTGGGCAAGCTTCAATGCACAAGTGTTACAGAAAAAGTTATCGACACCCCTAATAGTGAAGAAAACGAGAACACTAACGGCGTCAAGAAGCAGAGGCAAATGCTAATTTCCAGAGGTTCACTCCCAGAATGGACAGATGAACAACTGGATGAGCTCTTATCATTTGATTGAGATGAGGGTAGCTTTTCCCTTCACCTACGGACTATTCATTTTGTTACATAGGTAATGCTGATTGATAGCATGTAAATTCTGTAGGTTCCTTTTCATTTGAGAAGATAAATAAATGCTTTGCTACACAGAAGTAGATAAAGGATTACGAAGATCCATCTAACTGAATGCAGTGTATTCAAAATTCAAAGGAGTTTCCTACCAAATCAATCGAATTAGGGAAGATGGGCAATTGTGATTCATCGTCCCCATTGATTCTCTCAACAGTCATCTTCTCCAAATATGGATGTAATATAATGGCAAATATGGAGGTTAATTTACCCATGTTATTCTATAGACTGTAACGTTAAATTACGATATCATTGTAATAGTATTACAGAAAATTTTAATTAGTCCTTAAAATTTTTATTTATTTAAAAAATACCCCAAAAAATTACTAATTAATCTCTAAACTTTTGATATATCTCGAAAACACCCCTATAAAATTATAATTTAACCCTTATAATTTTGAAATATTATAAAAACCCCTTAACCCTGAACCGGACCAGAAAAGCTGCCGGGTCCCGATCCGATCGACCGATTCGGTTCGGTTTTTAAAACAGAGCTCTTTATATGACTAAAATTCTTTATTATAAAAAGTGTATTTACAGAAACAAGAATCCAACAGACTCCTTATTCTTTAAATATAAATTAAAGAGTGAGTTTGACTCTCCACATTTGGAGAGTCACATTTTACTCTCCACATTTAGAGGGTCAAATTTTACTCTTTATCCTAATTTTAAATAATAAATTGCAAGTTTCTATGCATTTTATTTATTATTTATCTCTCCTACTAAGTTTCTTTCTTGAAAAAACATATTCTCTCTCCTATAATTTAAAAAGTCTATTGAATTTAAATAAAAATTTTGTTTTTCATATTTAAAAATCAATAAAAATGTTTTTTATTTATACAAAAGATGGCCTTTAAAATTAAAGACCACTATTAGAGATTCTCTAATATCCTATGAGAATACATTAGCTCAATGTAATTGCGAAGTAACGTTACTTCGTGGTAATGGTTACTGGGAAGTTTGAATTAAATGGTGACACTGTAACAGATAAGGGTGGAAAAGAGTAATGCTATGCTTACTCACCATCTTACTATCCTTTGTAAATATAACGCATAGTACGGGTATCATACGCATAGTACAGGTACTATATGTAATTTTAACAAAGATAACAAGACTGTTAGTAAAACTCGTGAATAAGCATAGTATTTCTGGGGTGGGAAATAACCTACAACCTAACTGTTTAATTGACGTTAGTTAATTGTACATATAAACAACGTTTAATCATGGCACATCTTTTAGTCTTAACATTGTTAATTAACACAACAATGATTGCCGTTATTTAACAGGAATTGTTTTAGCCATTATTTAACTGTACTGGCTCAAGGGTCAAAGAGATTACTATCCTATGACTATATGATCACCTGCTTCAAACACTCCTCCTACCACTTAAGTTACATTGGTATTGAAATTTTAATATTATGAGATTGTGTTACCATAAATTAGTAGTAACTGAAAATAATCAATTGAAGATGGTGTTTGTGTGTATAACTGTATATAATATCACATAGTTACAACATGATCATTATTCATTATCGTAAAGTAAGGGAGACCTGTATACATATACTATCAACCATAAACTGTGAATAATCTTTAAAATTTCAAATTTTCGTAAGTACAAAGATGCTAACCAGGATAAACTATCATACTACTCTTACAATAACGCGGAGAAAACTTCTCATCGAAGATAAAAACTACAAGCAGAATGTATATATTATTATCCGAAGCAAGAAAGCACCGAAACAAAATTGGACTATACTTACAAATCGTTATAACATAAATCTCACCGAATAGATTCTTCTTCTTATAACAAAGAACGACGCAAAGAATTCTCTTCTGTGGATCCAATCGAGATGTATGGTGGCTTAATGTCGTCTTACCCGTCCTTCAAAGACAGAATGGTCGAGTTTGCAGAATGAGAATCAGTTCTGTGATATGCCCAACCCTCCCAAAATATTCCATCAATCTTCCCGTGACTCTACATGAATACCTTCCTTAATCTATCAGCAGAAACGGAGGCTCTTTTATTGGTTGGCTCCAACACCAGTGCATATTGAAAATCTGCAAGAGTGCCACGAAGGCCAATGACATCAGTTAAAGAGACTGGTACCAGATTACAGGGAGTATCCCAGAAATCCTTCTGGGCCAGAGCAGTCTTGACAAATACTTGCATTTAATAACTCTCGGCTACACACTGTTGTCCAAGAATTACCCAACTACAGGAAAAGGAAGAAGATTACCTGGCCCTCTGAGAAAGACCTAACTTTTTTGGTTGTAAAGTTTCATTCACATCCCTCAAGGTTTGGCAGTGTAGGGAAATTTTCCTGGTTTGTAAAATAGGTAGAGACTCCCCATACATGCATGGTTTCTAGTAAATCTTATGGGAAATTTATTACGATTTTCATAATTTAATGAGTGATGTTTGACAAAGTCTGAAAAAAGCAAGGTTAGACTGTATTTTAATTAAAGCTTAGAGAGAAGGTTAATGAAATTTCCCTTGATTTAATTAGTTTTTGGTAAGTAACTATTGTCTCGGAAGCCACTGTCTTGAATTCATATTTTTACGTTGCTCTTTCCTTCTAGACTACTGTTTACAAAGTACAAGTTCCATTTTATCCTACAAGATGAAGAGTAATAATCTACCTTCAATTGCCTCCTTATAATAGCCAAGCATCTCTCTCGCTGTGCCTCTTCGCAAATAAGCTTTCACATACTGACAAAAGATGGAAAAAAGAAAAACAGAAAAAATGTTATTATTCTCGTGATATATAGATCTTGATACAGCACAAAATATTTACTGCACCATCAAAATAAAACCTATATGTCTCAAATCCTGAGCAGATTGAAAATTTGCAAGTCAAGAATCATGTCAGCTATTATGCGTGCATCCCAAGCTCTAAGCACTGGCACTATTTTCCCATGAATTTAGCTCAAGAAATACATCTTAAAGGCTCTTAATTATCTTGTACCCACTAAAATAATTGCTTATGTCATAGCTATTAAAGTAATTTACAAGAGCAGATGTTCAGATATTCTGAGAGGATCTAGAGCATAAGTAACAATAAAAAACAATACCATAATGCAAACATTTTACTAATGAATCTTGATCAATCAGAAAACTCATACCATAAAAGGTGGTCAAATAAAAAGCATAAAATCCCAAATTTATAAAATAGTAAAATGTAACGAGAACTGTGAAACTGCTGCGCACATAACAGGCTGTAAAAGAAAGCTTCAGTTTTGTTGGTCTCATTATCATTCTAGTAAACAACATTAGGAAAAAACACTAACATGTCTTTAATGATAACCAACTTATCACTCTATCATAGCATCAGTAATGACACACTGTTGCGGTCACATGTTGTGGTCACATGGTCCGAGACCTGAAGACCATCACCTAGCCTCAAAGAGTAGAACTACCAAATTGCAAAACTAAAAGAATTTGCTTTATGAGATAAGTCACCTTTTTGTCAAGCTTTATAGCGTTCGTACAATCTGCTTCAGCTTGAAGGAAACTGGAGAGAAAAAATGAAATTTAACAAGACCATATTGCAATATATTAAAATAGGGGAATTAACTACCAATAATATAACAATACCTCCCCAGCTCAAGATATGCTGCAGATCTGTTACTGTAATACGTTGCATTATTTCCATTAAGTTTGATAGCTTCTGTATAAAAGCCAATAGCCTTCTGCCATTGTTTTTCTTTATATGCTTGGTTGCCCTAAGTCAAATTCAGAGAATAAATGAGAATGATTTGTGAAGTGAAATATGCTCTTGCTTAGTCAATTCACCAAACCAAAATTTAGCAATGTAACAGCATAAATTCAGCATACTGTATATGAAGAAAGAAAAAGAGAATGCACATGATCCAGACAATGATTAAAAAACATGTTCTTAGTTTGGAGATTTCAGAGGGCTTCCATTCCTAATATATCAAAGCGAAATATATTTATACACACATCACCACCCAAGACCGAACTCTAATGCTGGTAATGACGTTGACTAACAATATAGCCATAATATGATGAATTTATTCCCCCAGATAGTTCTACACATTCCACTAACATATTCAAGAAAGAGAATCACATATTTGTTAGGATTGAAAAGACCAAGTTATGTCCCTCTATTTATTGTCTTGATAGTCACACAGTAAGCAGTACATCTCATTATGGTCATATTTGTAACAATTGTATACTTTAACTCCAAAGTGCTGAAAAATTTTGCACATGCAAAAATGAAAACACAGTAAAAATAAATATGATAATATACCTTTTCTTTAGCAATCTCTGCAGATTGTTCCTTGCTGATAGCATTACTTGAAGATTTGGATGTAGCTACAACATCAACCTGCTCTTGTAGAGACTTGAACATATTCTGCAGAGTATCCAGCAAAAAGCGATCACCCCCATGCTTGGCAAGAAAGGAAACTGAAATAGGACAGTTGTCATGGTATCCAAGTGGCACAGTGACCTGAAAAATGAAGAGAAAAAAAGTTAAATAAAAATTGCATCACTTTCATCATAATATAAGTAAAACCTAAACTGACAATGCAATTTGATTTTGTTCCATCCAAGCCAATGAACAATGTAGGTCAGTCAATTGAGAGAATATTTCACCTGACAGCAACCTGATAAACTCGCAATACTCAGTAGACTGAATGCAGAGTTCTGATAATCCTCTGATAGTAACTCTTTCCCACCAAGTTTTGGAGGAGGATAAGCAGTGGTTGGGATCACAAGTATTCTATCATCCTAAACAAATACCACATACAACAAGTAGTGCAGCAGCATTAGATATAGAAATCAAAATAGCACCACCTTATCTATTAGCAGAAAGACAACAAATATTATGAAGCTAAAGCCCGAACAATAAACAATGAAACACATAAAGATCTCTTTTCTTAATGGTAGAACTTAAAATGACTAATAAAACGAAGTGTAGGTAAGTATGGTACATTCACACAGCAGGAAGACTGAAGAAGGAGAAAAGACAAAGCCAACAACTTTTTACTATACTACCAACATGCAAATTTCTGTGTCTTTGTACATGTCAAGAGGAGAGTAAGAGAGTGAGGAAAAGAGTTGCTAGCACTTTTCTATAAAGATTGCTTAAGGCAGAATCTGAAAAGAGGTTTCAAGTTATATTCTTCTGATACCCTTTTCCGATTACTTC